GCTTACACCTACGGGAAATAACTGAGAATTTAGGGAATGTTGCTTGCTCTGACGATCTGTAAATTAAGAAAGAAAAATGTGAATGGGACAATTTAAATTAGCACACATGACTACATGAAGCATGCTATTAATTTACAGGTATGTAGGAGGATTGAGGCTTACATGTCAGAAGGAATGTAGAAGGCTGCATATTTATATGACCAACTGTATTTTACATGTTCCATGGCTCTTCCAAGAATGCAAGCAACAATGCAATGCAATAACAGCGATAGAACCTACAAAAACAATATGCAAATGGAAATGCAATCAAAGTTAGAACACAAATCCAACCATGAATTAAATAAACTCGCACAGTTAGAGCCGACAAATCCAAGTATCGGAGGTAATTAATCCACGGCGCTGATTTTGTGTCGTTCCAAAACGACGCTCGCTTCCGACTCCGCGCCGGTTTCTCAAGGAGGAGACGACGCTCGCTTACGACTCCGACCCGGTTCTCCGACCGAGAGGCCTGGCCAAGTAGGGAATGACGCTTGCTTTCGACTCCGACCCGGTTCTCCGACCGAGAGGCCTGGCCATGTAGGGGACGACGCTCGCTTCCGACTCCGACACGGTTCTCCGACCAGGAATACACCGAACCTCGTGGAATGACTCTGCTCACGCAGAAGCTAGTTTACCCAGTGATGGATCACACATCCTTATAAAAAGAATTGTTACGAGGTGCACTGATGTCATCCACAAGTCACATTTCATTCTGCACTGAATCAATGAATGCACATAGTAACATTAACTTATTCAACAAAACGAATCAAGCTAAATTGGAAAAATAAAAAGAAACAGAATCATGACTTAAAGACTATCGGTACGTCACTCATGGTCACCTAGATTGGGAACGCCTGATGCCTTCATCTCCAGTTGCACCTTTTCCTGTATCCTTGCGAAAGGAATCCTTTTTAGTTCAATGTTTAATCAGTCTGAAAGAAAAGATGATATATGTTTAATCGGTCTGAGAAATAGAATAAGTATATCTTGACAATGAACCTTCCCTATATCACAGTAGGAATGATAGCATAGTTTGTCATAGACTAAATGCAGGTTACCAACATATTTTGAAACCAGCTTCTAATTGCAGTAGTGCTGTTCTTTCAAAAAAAACATGCAGTAACACACTTGTTTTGCTATTAAGAAAAAAAACATATCTGTGTTGCAAAATAGTAACAGTCGACATCAAGTTCTTATATAGAGAAGACTAAATGTCGCAGCAATTCAACTCCCTGCTTGGATTTATGCAATTTATGAAGCAAAAAATGAGACCCTAATCTCATTAGAAGGTTTTGCAACCAGAGGCGTCATAAAAGGTTTACTAACTCGGAATTTTGAAATCCATTCTCAGTGAGTATTTATTTACAACTTCAGATTTCTTTGCACATGCATATTACCTTAGATGCTTAATTTATGTTTTAAACCACATAGGAACCTCTGATTAATCAATATATGGCACACACATCTAAATCCACCTTCTGTGTGAACATGGCAATGCAGTGGAGGAAATGCAGGAAAAAGGATAGATGGTCTCTAACTGAAGTAATGATCATGGACAGAAAAAAAAAACTTCCAGTTTGAAACTTTGAATACAATAAATAAGATTTCAGATGAGTTGTTACCGGCGAGCGCATATAGGAGGCTAGAGCAGCAGCCCCTAGACCTGCGAGGTCCACTGCCTCCTTTCCACCCTTTTGATCTGATTGGAAGCAGCAGTAGCAGCAACAGAGCCGAACACAGTCTGTTTTCAACAATCCTGAAAGAGTGAAAAATGAACTTTCAAAAACCTAGAAAACTGAACATCACTTCAGCTTGCTGGATTTTGTTGCTACTCTGCAATGCAGTTTAGAATCATGAGAAGAGCCTTACAACAAATAGAATTGCAAGTGAATCATGCATAGGCTTACATGGGTTCCCCAAATTTTATATTGCTATAGCATCTTTGGTGGCGTTCTCAAGTTTCTTCTCAAAATAGAATTTCTACAAGAACTGAGCGCAGCATACCCGTGTCGTCATGCCAACCTGTTGTTCAAAAATTGCCACATGAGTGATCTAGAGGTGTAAGGTAGAAACCAAAGTGGATCCTGTCAATATTTTAAACAATACTTACAACTGAGGAGTATGTGAAAATAGCAAGAGAACTCTTTCTACCAGTTGAAAAAAGCTTCATTCCCTGAAAGTAGATAGGGAAAAAAGGTCAGGTAAGCAGCAACTTAAGTTTCCTATTGAACAGGCCAAAAGTTAAGATTCATGTGGAAAGGCTGCATACAACTGGTATAAAATAACTTGAATTACATAGCATCAAGCTAAGGAAAGATTAGACTTCGTGACGGTAGCTAGTGGCACACAGCATTGCCAATCAACTACAGTAATACTGTCATCTGAAAACAAAACAAAAAAGAAACAGAGGAGGTACAAATCCCTATTGACACTGAAGAAGCCTTTTGCCAAAGGTATATATTGTAATTGTAATAGTTTAAGTATATTGCTGATTGAGGATTTTTCCAATGCAAATTCGCATATAATCTTCAAATATTCCATAATCTAAATTGTAGTTTCAAATAAGACAGTAAGTGAGCTCGATCGAACCATTACAAGAATGGCACCAACCACCATTACCAATACCAACCATCAGCTGAAGTGTCCAACTACTACTATATAGAGCAGATTGAAGAGGATTATAAATTACCTGAAAGAGTATAATCAGTATCACAAGGAAAATGCCGATCGTCATTGCTCCACCATAGTAGAACACTACAGACTCAATGTGTGTGCCACCACCATGAGCACCAACCCTAGGATAGGAAAAAGAACACCACCCTGTGGAGCAAGAACTCTGCATACACAACTACAAAAGACTCCTGCATGACTGAAATTTTGCAGTACAGAAAACAAGGCAGAGATCAAATGATGTCACCTTGGCTTAGTAGCTTTGTTGCATATGGGCAGCACCTGAATGAAAGGCACAAATTATTCCAGTTTGGATGGTTCCTCCTCCGAAATTTAGATGCCTCATCCGAAACTGAAAACTTGCAGTAAATATATTTGATACTTCTATATACTAACCGATATATTTCTTTATTAGGATTTAAGCACAAGTATTTTTTGCTCAAGCATCGCAACTGATCCTGCTACTATGTTTGATGTTTCCCCTCCAAATCGACCCTCAAGCCACAGTTAACGACTTTGATCAAATGGAAAAAATAGATAGTAGATCAATACTGATGTTTCTGATTTTTTTACACGGTTTCTTGGATCTTTCATTGACTGTTAGGAGTCGACAACGTTCCTTGTGACCTCAGATCAAGCCACAAATCAAAACTAAAAGAAAAAAATAATGGTTAACGTCATATCTTAGTGCCTACTACTACACAATTGAGGATGAATTCACAATTGAGGCAGGAAAGGAGAGAACTCACATTGTGGTACCACAGATCTTACTGCCTACTACTACACAAATGAGAAAGGGAATTCCTAATATAAACCTTCAGTATCAGCAGCATATCATGTCAAAGTTCAGGTTATTGATGTCCGCTTTTTCATCGTGCTTTGCTTTGGAGAACCCCTGAATGTGATGGCAAAGCTAAGCTGACAAGCAAAACTATATCTAAGTGGAGGACTGATGAACTAGAGTAGCAATTTCAGAAATAGGCGCTCAAACAATGTGGAGGACTTACCGCTGTGCGATGGGCTAGGGTGGGTGCGGGGGCGCGGTCGCAACGGGGAGGAGGAGGCTGGGTGCCGGATCGGCGGGGGCGGCTGGGGCGACGAGGAGGGGTCCAGGTGCTGGGGTTGTCAGCGTCGCGGCTGACGTCGTCGGCATCGGGGGCCGCTTCGCAGCGGGGAGGAGGACTAGAGGAGGCTGGGTGCCGGGGGCGGTGGCTGGGGCAGTGGGGAGGAGGCGGTCGTGTGCCGGGGTCAGTGTCACGGGGCGAGGTCGTGGAGCCGAGGTTCGTACGTCGGTTGCGGGGAGGAAATGTGCAGCTTGGGGTGCGGAATTGACCGATGCGAGGAAGGCCTCCAAGACCGGCGGCTGGGGCAACGGCATGGGTGCGACGGCGAACGATGTTGGCAGGCGACGGGCGATGACGGAGGAAGGCCAAATCCAAATCGTGAGGAGCGAGGGCGGGTGCGGAGGAATCCTTCGCGAGAGGAGCGAGGGCTTGCGGGGGGCGACAACTTTGATTGGAGAGGAGATTAGGTTTCCTTCAACGTCGCTGCGGGCCACGACGCCTTCCTTCGACGTCGCTGCGGGCTGCGATTCCTTCGGCGTCGCTCCTTGTCATATCGCAAGGGAGGGGAGGGGAGGGCGACCCCGCAGCCACGACGTACGCGCCTTCCTTCGGCGTCGCTGCGGGTCGGTATCGCAAGCGAGGGGAGGGAAGGGCGACCCCAAGACAGTATCGCACGGTGAGTGGGGGCGGTGATTGCGGCTTTCCATTTTTAGAGCGACTTGCGCGCGGACGGGAGGCGGGGATCGCAGGGGGAGGGGCGGACCGACGGAGCGACGATTGTCGCACGAAACGGTGTTCTTACTTTCTTTCTTTTTAGTTGTAGTAGATTGTAAGTATGTGGCAAGGTTTTGATTTTTGTAAACTCTGAATGGCAGGATATGATTGATTGTCATCATGCAGTTGGATTTTCACTGACAGTTCCGATAACTGCTGAACAGAAGACCATAAGATACGTTCCCTGGTTTCCATAATCGAGAAAAAAGACATTATTTTAGTTTCAGGTACTCCACATGCAAATTTGTTTTATGCACAAGTACACTAATTTTTTTTCAGAAATTTTAATTTTAGAAGCATTTTGAAGTTCCGTCATGATTATTAGTAATTTGGTCGGAATTGGTGTTCATCTTCAGCTCCTTGCATATAATAGGTAGGGACAGAAAGCTGAAGCCGCTGGAATTCCGCACTTGTGAATTTTTCACCCCGCTTGCTTATCTTATTATTATCACCATGAAGGCTGCTGCAACTGGACGGTTTCTTCTGCTGGTGCTCATGGCTTGCAGCCTGCATGCTGTCACCTGCAGCAGCAGCAACACCAACCAAACAGATCGACTATCACTGCTTGAATTCAAGAACTCGATCAGTTTGGATCCACAACAAGCATTGGCTTCTTGGAATGACAGCACTCATTTCTGCAATTGGGAAGGTGTCACCTGCAGGACGACGAGCAACCGTGTCACTAATCTTGACCTTGGAAATAGAGGTTTAGTCGGCCAAATATCTCCTTCGCTAGGAAACCTGACATTCCTGAAACACCTGTTCCTAGCAACAAATAGATTCAGTGGACAAATCCCAGCATCCCTTGGCCAGTTGTATCGCCTCCAAATCCTCTACTTGAGTAACAACACGTTACATGGATTTATACCAACATTTGAAAACTGCTCCAATCTGGAAGAACTTTGGCTCAATGGGAACAATCTCATTGGGGGGTTTCCAGGTCTGCCACTTGGACTTAAACACCTGGCGCTTGGATCTAATAATCTTTCAGGAACCATCCCTCCTTCTCTTGCCAATGTCACAACACTTAAGGGGTTAGGCTTCAATTACAATCACAATGAGGGAAACTTACCAGATGAGTTTGCCAACTTTCCGGAGCTACAGTTTCTGGGCGCTAGTGCCAGCAATTTGGTAGGTAGTTTTCCACAGGCCATCCTGAATCTTTCAACCCTCGTTACCTTTGGTATTGTAATGAATCATTTAAGTGGCGAGGTGCCACCTGGCCTCGGTAGCTCTCTACCCAACCTCCAAACGCTTGCAATAGACAACAACTTTTTCCATGGCCACATCCCTTCCTCGCTGGCCAATGCATCGAATCTGCGCATTATTGATATGTCAAACAACAGTTTCACTGGGGTGGTCCCTAGTTCCATTGGTAAACTTCGCAATCTCTACCTTCTGAATCTTGAGTTAAATAAACTTAAAGCTCGTAACAGTCAAGACTGGGAGTTTGTTTACAGCTTAGGCAACTGTACTAATCTACAAACATTGTCATTATTTTCCAATCAGCTAGAAGGCCACGTACCAACTTCATTAGGTAACCTTTCTGTTAAACTGTGGACTTTAATACTGGGGAACAATTAATTATCATGTGGCTTTCCTTCTGGCATGGCAAACCTTCGCAACCTGATGTGGTTAGGACTACATGGGAATCAATTTACGGGCAATGTCCCAGAATGACTAGGAACTCTAAACAGTTTACAGGTGATGCGTTTAGAAAACAACAATTTCGCAGGGTTTATCCCATCGTCCCTTTCAAACTTGTCTCAGTTGTCATATCTCGGACTTCAATCCAACAAACTGGAAGGGCATTTGCCTGCAAGCATAGGAAATCTTCAAAATTTTCAAGTATGTAACTTCTCAAATAACCTTCTTCATGGTCGTATTCGCAAAGAGATGTTTGGAATTCCAGCAATCCTTCGTATTGATTTATCTTCAAACCACCTGCACGGGCAACATCCTAATGAAATAGGCAATGCCAAGGTGCTCGGATATTTGAATATTTCATCAAATATGCTGTTTGGTGACATTCCGACCACTATAGGTAAATGTGAAAACTTGGTATATATTGGGCTGGGACAGAATCGTTTGGGAGGAAGCATCCCCATTACAATAGGCAACATAAGTAGCCTACAAGTTCTTGACTTGTCTCACAATAATTCGACTGGGTCAATACCAATGTCCCTGAGCAACCTGCGATACCTTGAACAACTAGATTTGTCATTCAACAACACCAGTGGTGAGGTCCCATTGAAAGGGATATTCAGTAACGTGACAGCTGTGAGGATTGATGGAAATCCAGGGCTTTGTGGTGGGCCATTGGAGCTACACCTACTCGCATGCCATGTCATGCCTGCTAATTCAAGTAAGCAGAGGCATTCCATCGTACAAAAAGTGGTGATCCCTTTATCCAGCATTTTGTTAGTTGCTATAGTCATAACTGCAATGGTGGTCTGGAGAGGAAAACAAAAGAGAAATATGTTGTCTTTTCCATCATTCTGTAAGTTTCCCAAAGTTTCCTCCCCAAAGTTTCTCATACCATTTGATCTCCCCAGGAAGATATTCTTCCGTGTATAAAGTGGAGTTCTCATCATCCATGGTTTGATTGGCAAAGGCAAGATATTCTTCCGTGGCATCGAAATCTAGTTCCTATAGGAGTAGATTCCAATGGAAATGGTTTCAAAGACAGAAAGACACAAGGTGACATGGTTGCTGTCAAATGTTAAGTGTTTTTTGCCTAGAGACATGGGGGGGTTAAGTATTGCAAAAGAGCTTCATTGCAGAATGTAACGCTCTACGAAATGTGCGGCATCGAAATCTAGTTCCTATACTCACTGTGTGCTCTAGTATTGATTCCAATGGAAATGATTTCAAAGCCTTAGTCTATGAGTTCATGACACAAGGTGACTTGCATTCTCAAGAGCTAAAAATTGTTTACTCGACTCCGCATGTTCATGGGAACACACCAACGTTCAACTCGTATCCATCATGCATTAACGTTCTAAACCATGCTCATGGTTTGTAATGCCACAATGCATCACAATTCACAAGCTCATACACATTGTTATTAAGAGTTAGCCTTTTAGCTCAAATGAGGATTTGATGTCGCATGATGCATTGAAGTTGCAAAGGTCACGAATGAGCTCTAATAGTTGGTCACCATGGGTCATTCCTTTCTATTCTCTCCACTACAAGAGAACTAAGTCGTCCATACCATTTACGTGTTTTTATCTGAAGCAAACTTACCCTTAAGGGTGTCTCCTAGGCACATTCTTTTGGATGACAATATGACACTCCTCCATGTTGGAGACTTTGGTCTTGCAAGGTTCAAGTTGTGACTCCTTCCTTTCACACTTCTCATGTCTTCCATGATGATTAGTGACATAGAACCTAAATGCACTGCCACTTATTTACAGCAAATACAACTTGTTAGTATCTAAAAGTGAACGTTACAAGTATGTATACAAACATATAAGCTAATGAGGATTGTCGATATGTATACGCCTTTGAGAATCGATATGAAGTCTTTGTATGTCACCGTGTCCCTATCTAATGAATCAAAGACCCATGCCATGCTCCTCCCGACATCGACGTGGGCTATACAAATCCAAAGTCATTTAATCATAGAACTAGATAAGCTTATTATATCGAATTTAAGTCGAGTTGAACTTACTCAGGCAGCCATATAGTAGAGTGTTGTTGGAGATTTTTGAAAGCTATGTTTCCGAACATGCATAAGAGTCTTTGTATATTCCTCCAGGTAATCCAAGTTTCATTTATTTGCAGCTTGAGGGTAATGTTTTCATTTGTACGTTTATCATTGGAGTAAAACATAAAATTCAATTCTTTTTACAGTGCAATCTGCCATTTCTCTTCAGGAGGAGTGTGCTGTCAGGACAATGGAGCAGTTTCGATCTATGCGCTGGAACACGGATGTCTCATTCCAAGTGGTACAGTCTTCGGGGATTGTTCATAAGTTTTCGGTCAATCCTTTGAATTCAATGGCATCAATATTTGGGAGATACCGCTTTGCAATTTTTTTGCTAGTGATATAATGTCGTAACCCCCGTGATGGAACTTTTTTAACTTGGTTCTCGAAACCGTCAGGCCACCTGATGATATGTTCAATGGTGAGATCAACATTACAAAATTTGTTGAGATGAAAGATCTTTCCTGACAGGATACCACATCTCATCGATAATAGATCCTGAACTACTAGAAGAGAAACAACATTTATCTCCAGAAACTTCATTGGCCATGCAGGAGAAAAGCTTGGAGTGTTTGCTTTCAGTCCTAAACATTGGGCTTCTCTGCACTAAGTCAAGTCCCTAGAATTCTACATCACAACCCTTCAATAAATCCTCGCATAATCAAATGTGAATGATAGCAGTCATCATCATCCGCGTCACACGGCTCTTATAATCTTTACATGGGCAAATAATTAGCGCATCTGCATGCAGGAAGTCACTAATTATTTGAAATAATTGTATATACTTCAGATATATATGAATATAAATCTAATATAATTACATGAAGCATACAAACACACCAAGGTAGAGAAAAATTAATTAATGGTCCATTTATCCATAAATAATTAAAATACATATTTATTGATTACAATAAACAATTTCAAAGACAACAATCAATCAAGAAAGCATATATATCATACCAAAGTCAAAAAACTGAGAGTAACACTAGCAACGTCCGTTATACTTTGACATCGTTCGACTCAAGCACTCACCATCTTAGCACTGCATGACACAATATCATGTAATCTTCAGAGTGGATACATAATTCTAGGGCGGCTCCATCAAGAGAGACAAAAAATTCGAACCGCTTCCATTTCAGCGAGCATGCATGGTCTTGAATTTTCTCATGTTTGATTTCTGAAAATATGAAGGTTGATTTGTTGAGCAATACCATCGTCCACTTATTGTAGAATTGAATTCCTCCACCAAGTGTTGCAGCGTAATGTTTTCATGATAATTGGCTTCTACCCATGGAGTTCAAATTTTCCTGAATCTATCACCACCTTAATGCAAGCTAGCTATCATGTATATAATTTATGAAAAACAAAATAAAGTGTCAGTTCTCTGAAAAAAGATCGCTCCAGAATTTTATGGCTTTAATCAATTTTGCAGTACCTGCAAGTTGAAATGAACAAATAAACACTATATATGTATAACATTGTCAATGTGCAATAACTCATGTATGTTCACTCTCACAGTGATATTCCATTGGATACATAATTCTAGCGGATGCATGCTGGTTTGATGAGGCATGGTTGATCTCCAGAATGGTCATCGGTTGACATCAACAATTAGCTATCATTGACAAAATAAAGACCTTTTTAGGATCCCAGTGCCTCATCACTTAACGTCACAGTGATATTCCATGATGCTGGTGATTGGGATCTAATGATCGGTTGACACAACAATTTCCCAATCCCATGCCTCATCACTTTCAAGATTAATTTGTTTAGTTCCTAAGATCATTTTCCAATGTGTTCTTAGCCCTTGATGTACAGGTCTTGAAACAAGGGCACATTGGGGGTCAAAGCATAAAAGGTGACGACAAAGAAGAAGAATTATTAGAATCAGGCCCATATATGTGGAGGCCACGGATCCTTTCCCAAGCATAAGGGGCAAGGAGATTTATACGGAAGAAGATGTGGATTCAGATTTCGATCAAAAAGTTGATGTATGACTAAAACTTAACCGTTTTACATTCAGATTACATGGATAAGATATGGTCTCGTCGTTGTGTCACAGGAGAGGAAGTAGAGCAACATTGGGTCCATGCTTCATGGATTGCATTGGATACATGAAGAAACAACAATTAAAAGCAAATACACGACATCATTTGCAATTGCAAATAAACTTTTGGAGTAAAAAACTCCAAGTCAGGCTAGGTACCCACACTATTTGTGTGAGCCATGCATGTTGCTAGTTTTGTATACATTATAAAGTAAGTTAGTTCTCAAAAATTTCATTGTTATATATATTTTCACTGTGAATAAACTTTTTTGGAAGACATGCACAGATCGAATGCATGTGCCGTGCATGTATTCTAGTACATAACTAATTGTTTCCGGTCATAGCTATGTGTGGACTCAATTCTTTTAGCTATTCCTTTCCTTTGTTCCTTTCTAGGCCACAGTGTTTTTGTTTGCCTTCTCTCCAGCCAGTGACGGTGGGGGAGAGGGTGCCAACAATCTTTGAGAGGGTTCAGTAAAACCCAACTTTGATGAAATATGTGTTATGTGGTACTATAAAGGATGTTTCGATCATACACTTTAACATCCTCACAGCTACTCAAAAGGTTTACCAATAGACCATTAGAGTGGTGAACATACAGCAGAGATCGATGATGGAGCGTCCACAAAAGGCAACGGCTCTACTGCTGTCGCTGCTGGGCTTATTCCTCGTAGCCCATGCAAGATCGAGATACGAGGCGGAGGACGTGGACATCTCCTTGAACGTCGACAAGCAGCCGATGGGAGATCTGCTCCAGCACATGGAGCGATTCTCAGTGACAACGAGCCACAACTTTATGTCGGAGGCCACCCATATCTTGCACCAAAAGATGGAGCACCAGGAAGCCCACCCTGCAGGTGGATCAATGTCCACCTCCACTACCCCAGATCTGGACATCACTGTCGGTTCAAAAACCCCATTCACTGCCAGATTTTGAACCGACAGTAGCATACCGGCAGTGATGGGGGTTGACATCACTGTCAGTTCTTAAAAATTGACACTGATCTAGAAACAGTGTCGGTTTCTGGCTTCACCCGACAGTGTCTAGTTGAACAACACTGCCGGTTTATAGTCCCAACCGACAGTGTCAAGAGTGTCAGTTCTTGACTCAAGCCAACAGTGTTGAGCAAGCCTACACTGTCGGTTCATGGCTCAAGCCGACAGTGTTGAGCTAGCCAACACTGTCGTTTGATGGATCAAGCCGGCAGTGTTGAGCAAAACAACACTGTCGGTTCATGGCTCAAGCCGACAGTGTTTTACAAGACAACACTGTCGGTTTGTTGATAACCGGCAGTGTTTTGCAAGACAACACTGTCGGTTCGTTACTAACCGGCAGTGATGGCTCATTCGCATTTTATTTTTTATAATTGATTTTAATTTATATTTTTTCGTGGAATCGAGTTTCGCTTTATATACGCTACGTAGACGACAGGTCCATCAATATTAAACATTACAAATGTTACTGTTACAGTTCAAATGTTCTTATCCAGATCTCAATCCCTCAAAATAAAAAAGAAATATTCTCGGACTTCACAGATTGTGTAATGCTTCTCGGACTTCTTACAATAATCTGGCGAACCGCTCTGGGCCATACTGGTCCTTGTACCTCACAGATTGTGTAATGGAAAAATACTCCATCTTTTTCCAATACCTCGGCTGAGATGAATTTTGCGAGCTCCGATTGCAGTGCGACGATCTCCATGTCTAACAGCCTTTGGTGGTTATATTTCTTGTGCTGTCGTTCAAAAAAGATGATATCCAAAGAGGAACAGTAAATTATTTTGTTGAATTATTAACAGACATAAATGAAATGGGGATTAT